AGCCCTACTTTTCACCTTGCACAAAAGTCAACCCCAAATGGATCAAAGACCTCAATGTAAAGCCTGAAACTCTGAAACTGTTAGAAGAAAACATTGACAATAACCTACAAGATATAGATGTAGGAAAGGATTTTCTAAAGCAGACATCAATTGCTCATGAAACAAGGTCAAGAATCAACAAATGAGACCTCATTAACCTAAAAAGTTTCTGTACATCAAAAGAAGCAACCAACGAAGTGAAAAGAAAACCCAGAGTGGGAGAAAATCTTCACCGGCAACACATCTGACAGAGGTTTAACATCCAGAATCTATAAAGAGCTCAAAAAACAAAGTATCACGAAAGGAAGTAACCCAATTAAAAAATGGGCTAAGGAGCTGAACAGAGTTCTCAAAAGAAGAAATAATGGCAGCTTAGAAGCATCTTAAAAGGTGTTCAACATCACTAGTAATTAGGGAAATGCAAAATAAAACCACTTAAAGATTTCATCTTACCCCAGTCAGATTGGCTAAGATCAAGAGAACAAATGATACCAAATGTTGGCAAGGATGTAGGGAAAGTAGAACACTCATCCACTGCTGGTGGGAATGCAAACTTGTACAACCCTTACAGAAAGCAATGTGGAGAATTCTTAAAAGATGATAAATGAACTTACCGATTGACCCAGTTATACCACTTTTTGGCTTATACCCAAAGAACTCATCCTATTGCAGAGACACTTGTACATCCATGTTTGTTGCCGCTCTTTTCATAGTAGCTAAGAGATGGAAGCACCCTAAGTTTCCCTCGACTTATGAGTGGATAATGAAAATGTGGTTCATTTATAAGATGGAGTTTTGCTCAGTAGTAAAGAAAGATGAAATCATGAAATTTTCAGGTAAATGGATGGAATTAGAAACTGTTATACTAAGTGAAGTAACACACTCAGAAAAAAAAAAAAACACATATATTCTCCCTCATATGTGGAACTTAGCCTCAAATCCTGATAAGTGAGTATGTATCCAGACATAACTACAGGAATCAGGATAATGAAAATGAACCAGGGTGGTAAAGGAAAAGAAAGAACCTGAAAGAGAAGAACAGTAGGAAACAGGTGAGATATGGATTAAAATGGGGTTATTTAAATGGGAGGGTGGAGGGAAGGTTATACAAGGAACCTAGGAAAAAAGGGAAAGGAGGAGCTCAAGAGAGGTGGGACCACATTAGAAGGGTATTATTAAGGGAGAAATGGGGAAAATGGGGGTACTTTATATGAGAAACCATGGTGGAAGGGTTAGATGGTGAGAGAAATAAATAATGCCTAGCTAGTTTTTCAAAAACCAGAGGGAATCATATTAATCGAACAATCTACTGACAAATTATACATACAACTAGCTCAAGGAATAGAATATATATCTAGGCAAGGTTTATTTGAGAATGTTTGGTCTTTGCCTAAGCTTTATCTACATGGTACATGGTAATTAAAGTACCAGACTGGTGGAACTAACCTTCTTGGAGGCCTATACTAATTTGGTCAAGGGACATAAAGGACAGTTTTTGCTCCTTGCCCTCCTAGGACGACTAATTTCCAGGGGACTATGAACATCTCTCAAAATGTCCTGTAACTATGGCAAGTCACCTGTCCTCTTGATCTAGGAGGCCATGGAGACCCCACCAAATGGACTTGAACCAGTGTCCAGTCTGCAAAGAGGAGGGTCAACACAGAGGAAATATTTCTTCCATGCTTCCAGGTGAAGTCAGCCATGGTTGAGAAGGACCTTTGACTTATCTTTACATAGATAGAACTGGCAAAAGAAAGGAGCCAGGGGCTCCTCCCAAGTCCATGTGACCCCTGAGGAACAGATCTTCAAATGACCATAAGAGTGAAAATAAACTGGTTTATCTGAGCCAACTGCATGGTCTTAAACACCCAAAAGAAAAGTATAACCAACAATTAAAGGGATCAATATAATTCTTTACGAGTCCATGTGTATAGCTAAAGGCTACATAACAAGAAAAAATGGCAGACCTTCCTTTGAGTTGTTGGCCAAGGTGGTTCATTTATAAGATGGAGTTTTACTCAGCAGTAAAGAAAGATGAAATCATGAAATTTGCAGGTAAATGGATGGAACTAGAAACTGTTATACTAAGTGAAGTAACACAGAAAGAGACTCCCAGACAGTAACCCAGTGACCCAGCATAGAACTGGGAAAATGAGCAGCAGACCCCAATCTTTTCTAAAGGAATATTGGCAACCTAGATGAGGAAGAACTGCCCTTCCTAAAACAAGGAACTCTGGATAGGCTGACTAGATTCAGCAGATGGACAAGCACCGGGGAATGGCTGGGGGGTGCCAACAACACAGTGGACAGTAACAGTGGAGTATATGGGCTCCAGTGGGGCGGTATGGGAGGGTACCATTTGGGATGTGGGTATATAGATGAATAAGTTTGTTTGGGATGTTCTATATGAAATACACACACAAAAAATCAACAGATTTTAAAAATGAGTTACATTTGAGGAGGAAGCATAAAAATTTGCTTCATGTTAATTATTAGAGGTGGAAAACATTACCATTGAAACCTACCTAATGACTACATCCATACTCAGGTGCCAAGCATCTGAGTATAACTTACTGTAACTAACAATAATCAGATACATAGACATTAGAGACCCATGTGCAAATATCTAAGTGTTTGTAGCATTAAAAATGAGGTTTTCTGTATAAAACAGTATATTTTAAAATGAAAGGCTATCTTTTTTAAAGGTTAAAACCTCATTCAAGTTTATGTTTTATAGGGTTTATACTGAGTTCAAGATTGTCTAACTGTATTAATTCAACTGTGAACCTAAAACTTTACAGTCACTTTTGAAAGAGATGCATCTTTGCTCTGGAAATTGTTAATTTCTGTTAATTCTGTAATGAAATTCTTCATCTAATCATGTGGTTATTAAATAAGTAATTTAAAATAAATAAATAAAAATAATAAAAATAAAATGACCAATTGCAGTTGTAGGGGTGAGAAGAGGAGGTGTCTGAATATGATCAGAGTACATTGTATGAAATTGAGCAAATACACAGAAAGTAAAAATATCAATATGATTTGAGCTCAAAACCACGGGTTCTGAGGTAGCACTAGGCAAGTCAAAAGTTGAAAGCTCCTGCTTCCTTGTTCATAAAACATTATTTTGGTAAATATGCTGTACGCTTCCCAGCTCATTAAGAAGATCAGTAGTATATAGGGTGAAATCAATGAGGTTTGATGATATGGTGCAATTTCTAAGCTAATGCTTTTAAAACATAATTGTCTAATAATAACTAATCTGGTTAATTAAAACTACGAGTTTCATTTCTGATCAATAGTAGTTGATTTAAAATTGTTACAGAATCTCTTCAATTCTGTACTTCTTATGTATAGCCTTACAATATGCTTAGCTGCTCTTAATTATGTCAAGATAGCTTAGGTTTTTTTTAATGTATCCCTTTAATGGACCATGTAAATTTTAATGAAAATAATTATTTTATATAAAATAATTCTATCATTGCAATCAAGAAAGTACGCAAAAAGCTAGAGTGATGGCAGGTGGCTAAGTGTGCTTTCTGCTCCTGCAGAGGAATGGAGTACAGTTCCCAGGACCCATGTCTGGTGGCTCACAACTGCCTGTAACTCCAGCTCTAGGGCATCCCCATGCTCTCTTCTGTCCTCCTGGACTCACTCCCCCCCCACACACACACAGGCACATAGTTAGAAACACTTGCTGCTCTTCCAGAGGACCCAAGTTTAATTCCCAGCACCCATGCCAGGCATCTCATATATGCCTGTAACTCCAAGTCCAGGAGACCTGACATCCTCTTTAGACCTCTGCAAGCACCCATATATACAAGTAGACCAACATGCATAAAAATAAAATAAAAAATTAAATCTTTTTTAAAAAATAAAGCATATAAGTATGATGTTGACTACTAAGGACAGAATAATGTAAATATGTGACAGGATATATATATACATTTGCTGTAAGAGTACAGTACTTTCAATGTCTTCTCTCATCTGAGTTGCTGAGTAATTGTTAACAGAACTGATTTCTTCCATCTCTCCCTTATCCTGCAGAGCCTCTGATAGTGACTTTCATGGCAATTAGTTGGTAGCCCAACAATCCAAAGCAGACAGTGGTAGAACGCATTGAGGACCCTAAATGACGCAGGACAACATGTTCCATTCTGAACACTGGAGAACTAGGTGAACATAAAGAGCCACCACCGCAGTGAATTCACAATAGTCTCAAACAGAATCAGAGCTGACTTGATTTTTATTCCCAGGAATTCACGTTTCAAAGGCTATCAAAATGTGTTTTAATATTAGCATCTGAGTCAGCTCTTGAAATATATGGTAAAACAAAAATCCAAGCAAATGTATTGTCTAAGGAGAGATGAGATGCATGAAGGATCAGATGCAAAAAGGTGAAAAGGGGACACATTGGAAACGGGTTACAAGCTACTGTTCTTGTTTCCATGTGTATTACTGTGCTTTTCAGTGACACCGTGCATGTTTAATTGAAAGCAATTTTGGATTAATAAATAATTCATTATGGCTAGCCAACTTTGGCACATTGTTATGTTTTGAATGTGAAACATCTCCCATAGACTCACGTTTGGTCCCCAGCTGGTGGTACTGTTTGGGAAGGTTGTGGAACCTTCAGAGTTGGAGCCTTGCTAAAGGAAGTGGGCCACTGGAGGCTGGCCTTGAGGCTTTATAGCCCTTGGAGCCCCTCCTTCTTGTTCCCTCTCTGCTTCCTGAGTTAGGTGCAATATGACCAGCCAGGCTCCTGCTTTTACCCCCATGTCTTCCCCATGACATACTGTGTCACCTTGGACCCATAAGCCAAAGTAAACACTTTCTTCCCTAAGTTGCTTTTGTCAGGGTATTTTATCACAGCAACAGAAAAGTAGCTAATACACATACATTAGCATGTATAGATATAAATCCACAAATACATATAAAAGTGAGTATGTTTTTTTCCACAGCTGGATGTTGCATCCATAATACCATTTGATGTTTTCTACATTGTTTTTGGATTCAATCCAGTATTTAGAATGAACAGGATAGTAAAGGTAAAGTAACTATGTTCAACTGCCTTCCGATTCTCATAATGGAAATCTTAAGCAATTTTAAATATATTAAAATTATCATTGCTCTTTTTTTAAAACTATTTTTCATTTTTCTGCTTTCATTGGTTCTGTGATTTTTTTTTCTTTTCTTTTTTTCCTTTGAGTTTTTGTTTGTTTTTTGACAGGGTCTCCCTAGTCCAAGTCCAGTCCACCTGGAAGTCACAATGAGGACCAGGGGGCCTCAGTCTCACAGAGATCCACCTGCTTCTGCCTTCTGGGGGCTGGAATTAAAGGTGTGTGCCACCAGTCCCTGTGTATGAATGTTTTTTAATGCTACTGATGTACATGGCTCTTAGTTGATTGCATTCTGTATCTCACAGCATGTAACTTATAATCTAAAACAGGAATGTGAACTGGAGAGATGTCTCTATGGTTAAGAGCACTGGATGTTCTTCCAGAGGACCCAGGTTCAGGTCCCGGCACCCACATGGTGGTTAACAGCCATCCATAACTCCAGTTCAGGGAGATCTGACACCCTCTTCTGGCCTCCTCTAGCAATGCACAACACGGGTTCACTTACATGCATTCAAGTAAAACATTCATACACATAAAATAAAAATAAATAATTTTTTTAAAAAATAGGAATGCTTTTGTAATTCTCAATATACCTAAAATTAAAAATGAATCTTTTATAATTTTTTCTGTTAGATCTTTTTATCAGAAAATTCCAGAGTGTCTGAAACATTGGGTTATAAAATGAGGGAATTAGATAAGGTTGCCTCCAAACTATTTAGTTCACCTAAGATTCTATAACTGTAGAAACAATGCAAACATGGTTTTCTGTTATAAAATTATTTATATCCCTAGCTAAAACTAAAATGTTCACCAAGGATGTGGTGGCTCACTTGTAATCTAAGCACTTGGGAGGCAGAGGCAGAAGGATTTCCAGGAGTATGAGGCCACCCTGGGCTACATAGTGAATTTCAGGCTATCCCAAGCTATAACAGGAGACTCTGTCTCAAAACAAACTAACAAAAAACCATACACACACAAATGAAACTGACAAAGTAAGCAATTAAATTCCCTGAGACACTGAGATACATCTATGTAACAGAATGCTTTGTGGCTTTAAGAAAACAAAGAGGGGGCTGGAGCAATAGCTCAGTGTTTGAGAGCGTTTGCTGCTCTTGCAGAGGACCTGAATTCAGTTTCCAGCACCCAAATACTGGCTCACTGCCTCTGCAACTCCAGTTTCAGGGGCTCGGATGCCTTCTCATGGCCTCTGAGAGCACCAGATGTGTATAATACCAAGCAAAAGGCACAGAGGAATACCACATTTTCATGGTCGAATTAGGAGTCCTTTATTAGGCAGTGATCAGGGATGGGGCTGATGCTCAAAAGAATTCCCGATCCTGAAGGAAGGCAGAGTAGGGTTTATAAAGCTTAAAACCATAATTATATCATGCCAGGGCAAAGCCAGTAACCATAGTTGCATTATATCACCATAGTTACACCAGACCAGAGACAGGTTAGTTAACCGAGAGGTTTTCAGTTAACAGAAAGTTTCAGTTAAGAAAAACAAGTTTCAGGGCTGGAGAGATGGCTTAGTGGTTAAGAGCACTGGCTTCTCTTGCAGAAGACCCGGGTTTGAATCCCAGCACCAACATGATTACTAACAACCATCCTTAACTCCAGTTCCAGGGCATCTGCGACCCTCTTCCATCCTCCATGGGCATTGCATGACACGGGTGTACTTACATACATGCAAACATAATACCCATACACATAAAATAAAAATAAAGTTTTTTAAAAAAGAAAAACAAGTTTCTCAGTATTGCTGAAATAATGGGCTCCATGGAGACCCAGGTATAGCTGGGTGGGAGAATATGCTACCCAGCTACTTGTAAGTTTCCCAGAATTGTAAAACAGGTGCAGCCTTCATGACTGGATGACTGCAGTTAGAACAGGCGGTGGGTGGACAGCTAGGCAGAAACACAGGGTGAAGCAAAAGTCAGCTAGAACAAAATTGAGTCAGCTTTGGCATTTCAGCATGCATGTGGTACAGCGTACTTGAAGTCAAAACATTCATACACACTAAATAAAAGTAAATAAATGTTAAGAAAATGAAAAGAAAACTGAGTACAGTTTCTGTGTACTAATATAGTATGAACTCCAAGAAAAATTGCTGAGGATTAAAAAGGGTAAAACTAGGTAGAAAATAGCTTACAGAACAAAACTAACTTCTATAAACGAGAAACCAAAAAAATCCAAATTTTCTAAATTTACATAAATTCCCAAATACTACAAATATTGTTTATAACTAATGAAAGTAGTCACCTGAAAATGGGAAGGTAAATCAGGAAGGAAAGGCGCTGTGGATAGAGGCAAGAGAAAGAACAAAATTTTAAGGGATGTATTTCATATTGAATTTGAAATACATAAATGTATTACCTATTCAAAAATATTCTAAGATAAAGACAAAATATTTCATAAACTCAGCTTTGTTGTGTACCTTATACAAATCTGAGGAAAATTGGAGTCTGAGTTTTCATATCAATCTTTAAGAATAGCAGTGATAGCTTACATCTCCAAACACAAACTTCCTAAAGAGAACACAAAAGAGCCCCAGCTGTCCTGGAACTCACTATGTAGACCAGGCTGGCCTTGAACTCACAGAGGCTCACCTGCTTCTGCCTCTGCTGAGATTAAAGGCATGTGCCACCACGACGGACTTTGATTTTACAAATTTTAATGAATTATCATATTTTTTCACCCTGGGAAGAAAAGGTGATTCTCTTTTCAACATAACTTGCCAACCGGGATGCATGCTGACAATAATAATAGCATCTGCTACCACTACTTAAGAAGGACACACTAAAACATTGCATCCTTTATCTCTTTCATTCTTCCCAATAGTTTCATGTTAGCAATGAGGAGACTGAGAATTAGCATGGTTAAGAAGTTTGTCCATACATACTGATGAAGAATGCGTCTCATTACTTTTTTGACTCCAAATTCTCTATTCTGATCATATTGGCAGGTAAAGATCAGACACTAAAAAAGCTTTCTTCCCATGCTCATGATTTGCCTTTTTAAAGAGCCCTGACCCCGTATTTCCATATACCCAAGAAAACTCTAGAGGCTGCTGGCATGACCTTAGAATATGAGTATAAATCGGAGCAGAACACAATGCTCCAAGTAACCTAGCATCAGGCCATCCCCAGTCAAACTCACAACTGCACATGGAAGTTGCAGGCAAGATACGCTCAAAAACAACCAGTTTTCAAAAAGACTCAGGTTCCCCTGGACTTGGGAGTTTCCTTGACATTGCAATGAAAACTTACAAAATGTTCACTCTTCATATTTCATCTCTGAATCCATGTTAGCAATCCTTCCACAAGCAGTATTTTAATATGGGATATGATGAAAGTCCGCATTGATTTTTTTTCTAGCTCTACGGTCTTATTCTTCACTTACTTATAAGGGTATCAATTGAATGGGAAATGAGGTAAATATTTATAATATATGCCTCCAAGCTGTAAATGAGAAAACATGCTATGAACACAAATTTCCTCTACTATGAACATTTAAGATAAATTTGTGTTCGATTGATTTTGAGACAGGGTCTTCCTGTAGCCCCAGCTGACCTGGAACTCCCTAAGGAGATCATTCTGGCCTTGATCTCACAGAGATCCTCCTGCCTCTGCATCCCAAGTGCTGGGATTAAAGGCTTGTGCCACCACATCCAGCTCCCTTAAGTTAACTTTTAAAACACTGCCCCTTTGGGCAAACTTCTAGTAAGAGCACAATAAATAAGGAACCATGAATTGAAATTATCATAATCAGAGTATTTGAGGGATATTTTCAGGAATTCTGGGCGGGGGGGATCCCTATCCTTTGTATATATTTCTAGTTTTAGATTTTATTACTACTACATATATTATTTTTAATTCCAAATGTTCTAGAGCAGTCACACCTATATTATGGATTAAGTGGTCTGTAAGGTCTCTTCTGTCTATAAGATCTTCCAATTCCAAGCAAATTACATATATGCATACATGCATATACTCTTTTAGGACACATGTTCTTTTACTGTATCATTTTACAGAAAAGGTACAAAAATAGCAAGATAGTTTCTAAAGTCACAGAGCCACAATAGGACTGGCATTTGGCTTTGAGATTCATGGTCTTATTCCACATGATATTTCCTGTAGGAATGAAGAAGGAAGGAGAGGTTGGGATAGGAGTATGCACAGGAAGTAAGGGTGAAATCAAAGTAGAAATAAGAGAGAACATATGGTATTTGATTTCTGAATCTGGGTTACTTCACTTGGTAAAATATTTTTCCAGTTCCATGCATTTGCCTGCAAATTTCATGACTTTATTTTTCTTTACAGCTGAGTAGTATTCCATTGTGTGTTTGTGCCACATTTAAGAAGGAACCTTAATGAAATAGCAACTCTGTTTGGATTAGATCACAAAAAAAATTTTCCCATTCAGTGGGTTTCCTCTTCACTTCCTTGGTTGCTCTTACACACACACACACACACACACACACACAAAAGCATTGTAGCTTCAGATAATGTCAAACATAAATAGCAATGCTAACACTTTGTGGACTTTATATCTTGTAGAAACAAATATGAATTTGCCTCTTGCTTAAAAATGAAGCTAGCGTTGAGCAGCAATATATTTAATATTATTATACATATATTAACATATTATTTTTGCTTTCACTTATATTTTGGGGAATGTAATTTTAATTATTGTAAAATAGAATTGTACTATATGCTTTAGGAAGAATTGCATTATTTATTTTCAACAACCATCACAAGTAAGACAGTAACTAAAGAGTAGAAACAAAGTACAAAGCTCTCGAAGTTTGGGGTTATGCCAAAATGTACTGCCTAAAGGAAAAATACCACTAAACATGATCTAGATTTTTTAAAAGACATATGAATAAAACTATTTCCAATAACAATAAAAGCTATTTTACATTAAGTATGATGGTGCCTACCTTTAATCCCAGCACTGGGGAGACAGAAGCAGGCAGGTTTTCTGTGAGACCAAGGTCAATCTAATTTATGTAGAAAATTCCAGGTCAGCTGGGGCTGCGGGAAGATTCTGTCTCAAAAAGAAAAAAAAAAGAAAAAGAAAAGAAAAAGAAAAAAGACAATCTATTTTGCATAGCTTTATCTAAATAAGTGTATCTAAGATTAACTTTGTATTTCTTTGTTTATTTTCTGTATAGTACACTTCATTTTTTGAGTTTAATCATCGCCTAGAGTCTATAATGGACAAAGCATACATCTATAGATAAGTATAATCTGAATGCTTAGAGGAAGTGGGGAAGCAATGGTACAACACTTTAGGCAGCATTTAGGAGAAAATGATCCCCCTGTTAAAAAATGTTTTCATATTTTTGTTATATAAAATGTATGTTCTAAAGGAGATTGAGCTATTTCAAGTCATTAAAGTAAGAAAATCATACTAAGGAAGAAGACCTATTGTGTTTTAGTCTACACACTAAGGGGAAAGCATTGGCCCTCACAAGCCAGCTTTCCATCTCTCATACAATTCAGTCTAGACCATACTCCTTTGCCGATCCAAATTTCAGGAGCACAGAGTCCTCCAGTCACAGTCCATCACAGAATGATGTCCCACGAGCTTTTCAGATATCCAGGTAATCAGTATGGCATATTTTATAGGACTCAATATGAAGAGGTGACCCTTGAGGCATGTCTTTTATGGAGCTGACTCATACCATCTGTGAAAAGAAATGAAGATACTTTTTTACACTCTGTCAAGCCTGTTCAAGACTCTGCAGTCAGATAACATGTGATGTCACCTTCACTTTCTACTCTACTAATGAGAGTTGACATCTGGCAAATCTAAAGTAAGAGGGCTCAGTGGAGATTCGGAGTAAAGGAAAATGTTAAAATGGGCTGCATTCCAAAAGCAGCATAAATCCTTATTTTGCATTTATTCTCTCTGACAGAGTCATTCAAACAACTGGCTATTTGCTGTTTATTCTACACATCAATGCCTGTGTTTATTACTGGGCTTCAAACTATGAAGGAATTGGCACAACTAAATGGGTCTATAATGGTGAAGGGAACAAGTGAGTTCTAATTATGTCTTCTGGGTTGTGGGCCTGAGCCCTTAACAGCTAAGCCATCTCTCTAGCCCTAGAGTTCTAATTCTGAAAGAGACTTTTAATGGTTTTTCTTAATTTTCAGTTTCACCATATGAGCTTTCTTAACCAAATTTTTTGTTTTTATTAGAATATATTAATTGCACATAATAATGAGTTTCATTATGGCATATTTCCATGCACGTATATAATGTATTTGGGTAATACATCTTTCAATACCATATCCTGTCTTTCCCCACACCTCTCAACTTCCTTCCTCTTCCCAACTCTAATTTCAGCTCTCTCTCCTCTCCTCACCTCTCCTCCTCTCCCCTCCCCACCTCTCCCTGTGAACCACTGGGTTTAACTAGGGTTACTAACAAGAATATGGATGAGAGTTATGGAAGCCAGGGTAGCTTAGTAACTATGTCACTACAGGCAACTGTTAGTCATAACTCATTCACAGGCAGTAAAACCTCTCTACATGTGAGTGTGTTTTTAATGAGAACGTTTAAAAAAAAAAACAAAATAGAAAAAATCAGTGTATATAATACAGAAGAGATGTAGGGGCATATGAGTGTGTGTATAAGTGTGTGTGAGTGTATGTGAGTATATGTGTGTATAAGTCTGTGTGTGTGAGTATATGTGTGTATAAGTGTGTGTGTGTGTGTGTGTGTGTGTGTGTGTGTGTGTCTCCTGGCTTAGTCTGTGAAATGTGTTTTTACTCTAGATTATGATCAAAAAGTTTTGAAGCCTCTGCTTGAGATAACTGAGCAGTGTAGTAATTATTAATAACTCAATGCTCATTGTTAGTAATGATCAATGTTAATTATTTAGAGAGCAGATGCAATAGCTAATTAGTTTATCACTGAAGAGTTTCATAGGTTTATGAGTCAGCTAAAACCACTAACTCGATTAAATAGAGGATAACAAGAATAATAAATAAAACTTGACACTTAAGCAGCAAGTGTCCCATGAATAACATAGATCATTTGAAATTATTAGTACAAAAAAATCAGGATTGGAAAATAACCACTGGGTTATTTAATCGCAAATTTTCCTTGCAGTAGATACAAGGGCCTGGTATAAAGTGTACCACAGTAACAACTTTCTGCTCCAATGAAATGACATTGGACATGTTAGAAGGCAATGTCTTTGCTAGAAATAAAGTAGGTCCCAGCACTGCTTTGAAGGGCAACACGGAGCAACCTTAGGGTGGAAAGCCAAGACACTGAAAGATCTCACAATTATACAGCACCCAGAGGAAGCCAGATCTGTGTAAAATGTTATAACATTGTGTGAACTTTTTTATTTTTATTTTTTTAATTTTTTTAAATTTAATAACCACATGATTAGAAGAAGCATTTCATTACAGCTATAACATACTCAGTAACACATTCCAGAGCCAGGATACATCTCTTTCAAAGGTGGCTGTAAATTTTTAGGTTCACAGTTGAATTAATACAGTCATACAATATTGAACTCAGTATAAACCCTGTAAGACATAAAATTTGGTTTTTACCCTTTAAAGAAGATCTCTATTTCATTTTAAGATATGCTGTTTCCTACATTTTTAATGCTACTAACACTTACATGTTTGTACATGTGTCTTTAATCTCTATGTATCTGATGATTATTAGTCATAGTTGGTCATTTGGATCCTTAGTACCTGAGTATGGATATGAAGTCTTCAGGTAGATTTCACTGGTAATGTTTATCACCTCTACTATTTAAGATGAAGTATTTTTTTTAATTTTAATAACTGCATGATTAGAAGCATTTCATTACAGCTTTAACATACTCAGTAACACATACCAGAGCAAGAGTACATCTCTTTCACAAGTGGCTGTAAGTTTCTAGGTTCACAGTTGAATTAATACAGTTATACAATATTGAACTCAGTATAAGCCCTGTAAGACATAAAATTGAATGAGTTTTTAACCTTCAAAGAAAAGCTCTCCATTTCATTTTAGAATATATTGTTCCCTGCAGAAAGACTCATTGTTTTTGCTACTAACACTGAGATATTGGCACATGAGTCTCTAATCTGTATGTATCTCATTATCACTAGTCATAATCAGTTGCACTTAGATCCTTGGCCCATGTGTAAGTCTATAAAGTCATCAGGTAGATTTCAATGGTAATGTTTATCACCTCTACTAGTTAACATGATGTAAATTTCCATGCTTCCTCCTCAAATATAATACATTTTTAAAAATTTGTTGATTTGTGTGTCTGTGTGTGTGTGTGTGTATCACACAGAACATCCCAAAACATCTTATTCAACTATACACCCACTTCCCAGATGGCACCCTCCCATAGCCTCCCTCCCCCTGACTACTCTGATATCCCTGCTACTGTCTGTTGTGTTGTCCACACCCCCAGCTATTCACAACTACTTGTCCATCTGGTGAATCTAGTCAGCCTATCTAGAGGTCCTTGTTTTAGGAGGGTCAGCTGTTCCTCATCTAGCAGCAATCAGTTGTCAATATTCCTTTAGATAAGATTGGGGTCTGCTGTTCTTTCTCCCAGTTCTATGCTGGGTTACTATCTGGGAGTCCCTTTGGCCACCCTGGCCAACAACTTGAAAGAAGGTATCACCTATCTGGCACTGTTGCTTGTTATGTAGACTTTACCTAAACATATGGACTCTTAAAAATTGTATTGGCCCCTTTAATCTTTGGTTATACTTTCCTTTTGGGTGTTTAAGGACATACAGTTGGCCTAGATAAACCAATTAATTTTTACTTTTAAGGTTTGAGGATCTGTTCCTCAGGGGTTACACGATAAGTCAAAGGTCCTGCTCGACCATGGTTGGCTTCGCTTGGAAGCATGGATGAAGTGATCCCTCTGTGTTGACCCTCCTCTTTGTAGACTGGACACTGGCTCAAGTCCAGATGGTGAGGTCTCCTCAACCTCCTTGATCAAGAGGACAGGTGACCCACCACAATTACAGGACATTTTGAGAGATGCTCATAGTCCCCTGGAACTACTCAACCAGGGAGCAAGGAGCAAAAACTGTCCTTTATGTCCCTCTGACCAAATTATTATAGGCCTCAAAGTATGGCTATTATATATCTAAGAAGGTTAGTTTCACCATTCTGGTACTTTTAATTACTGTGTGTCATGTAGATAAATTTTGGGCAAAGACCGATTGTTCTCAGATAAACCTTACCTAGACATACATTTCTTGATCTGCTATGTATAATTTGTCAGTAGATTGGAGTAATAGGGTTCCCTCTGGTTTTTAAGCTACCTGGGGATTATTTATCTCTCATATTGTCTCACCCCTCCATCATGGTTTCCCCAATTAAGGTGCCCCCATTTCCCCCCTTTCTCCCTTAATAATACCCTTCTCCTACGGTCCTACCTCTCTTGAGCTCCTTTTTCCCCTTTATCCCCTAGGTTCCTTGTATACCCTTCCCTACCCCCCTCCCTTAAACTAACCCAATTTTCATCCATATCTCCCTTATTAAGGCCTGTTTCCTACTGTTCTTCTCCTTCAGGTTCTTACTTTTCCTTTACCTCCCTGGTTCCATTCCATTATCCTGGTTCCTGAAGTTATGTCTGGATACATACTCACTTATGAGGGTTTGGTGCTAGAATCCACATATGAGGGAAAACATATGTCGATTTTTTTTCTGAGTCTGTGTTACTTCACTTAGTATAACAGTTTCTATTTCCATACATTTACCTGCAAATTTCATTATTTCATCTTTCTTTAGACTTAGGTTGCTTCCAGCTCTTAGCTATTGTGAAAAAGAGCAGCAACAAACATGTATGTACAAGTGTCTCTGCAATAGGATGAGTTCTTTGGGTATATGCCAAGGAGTGGTACGAACTGGGTCAAGTGGTAGGTTCATTTGTAGTTTTTTAAAGTTCTCTAAACTGCTTTCCATAGGGGTTGAACAAGTTTGCAGCCACACCAGCAGTGGATGAGTGTTCTCCTTTCCCCACATCCTCTGCAACATGTGGTACCATTTGTTCTCTTGATCTTAGCCAGTCTAACTGGGGTAAGATTAAATATTAAAGTGGTTTTAATTTGCATTTCCCAAATTATTAGTGATGTTGAACATCTTTTAAGATGCTTCATAGCCATCTTTACTTCTTTTTTTGAGAACTCTCTGTTCAGCTCCTTAGCCCATCTTTTAATTGTGTTACTTCCTGTCTTGATTATCTGTTTTTTTAGTTCGTTATATATTCTGGATATTAAACTTCTATCAGATGTGTCACCGGTGAACATTTTCTCCAATTCTATGAGTTTTCTGTTCACTTCCCTGGTGGCCTCCTTTGATGTACTTTTTAGTTTAATGAGGTCCCATTTGTTAATTCTTGCCCTTGTTTCCTCAGTAATTGATGTCCAGTTTAGAAAATCCTTTTCTACACCTATATCTTTTATGTTTTTGCCAATGTTTTCTTCTAACAGTTTCAGAGTTTCAGGCTTTACACTGAGGTCTTTGATCCATTTGGAATTGACTTCTGTGCAAGGTGAATGATAAGGTTTTCGTTTCATTCTTCTACAGGTGGAGATCCAGCTTTGCCAGCACCATTTGCTGAACATGCTGTCTTTCCTCCAGTGAAACTTCTTGGCCCTTTTGTCAAATATCAGGTGGCTAATATTGCATGTTCTCATATTTAGGTCATCAGGCTTGTTAAATTGATCTATGGGTCTATTTTTGTGCCAGTACCATATTGTTTTTATGACTATAACTCTGTAATACAGCTTAAAATCTGGTATAGTAATCCCCCAGGCTTTGCTCTTAGTGCTCAGTGTTGCTTTGGTTATCTGAAGTCTTTTGTGCTTCCATATGAATCTTGGGATTTTTTTTCCAATTCTGTGAAAAATGTCATGGGGATTCTGATTGGGATTGCATTGAATCATAAATGGCATTTGGTAGGATGGTAATTTTCACAATATTAATTCTGCCAATCCATGAGCATGGGAGTCCTTCCTTCTTCTGATGTCTTCCTCAATCTCTTTCTTTAAA